TGAACTCATAGCAACCCTCCTAGATCAGCCTCCTGAGTCTGGGTTCACAGCTTCACCATGGCCAGCTGAAGCTCCCAACCTAAAGGGATCCTTTTTTCTCCTCCTAAAACAAAAGTCAATCTCTTTCTACTTCATACTTTCCCTCTGTCTACTACATGTGGCCTCCAGTCAAAGTCTTTGAGTATGAGCTGATGTCTCCCTGTCCCTTACAGGCAGAGATGAGCTCATGGCTGAGAGTGGTGAATGCAGCCATTGCCACTGCATCCTCTGCCTCTGGAGAGCCAGAAGAGCCAGTGGTGCCCAGTGCCAGCCGAGGTCTGACCCGGGCCATGACTATGCCCCCAGTGTCACAGCCTGAGGGCTCCATCGTGCTTCGCAGCAAGGATGGCAGAGAAAGAGAGCGAGAAAAACGATTCAGCTTCTTTAAGAAGAACAAGTAGTTGGGGGCAAGATTCCCAGGTCAGCTCCCTCCCTCCATTCAGGAAACTGCCAGGGACTATCGACAGAGACATCCCTCTTGTCAGGACAACTGCCTGCTGCTAGGGTCTGCTGCTAAGGTCAGCCCATCACCAAGAACTGTGTCTGGGGACAAACAAGTGTTCCCACAAACAACCTTCTCTTCTGCTATTTAATTCAACTGGTGGTGGGACCCAGGCAACCCCTAATATCACTGTTCCCCACCTTGTCACCTCTTCCCAAGCCTTATGCCTCCACCCCCACCACGGTGCAGATAGTGTCACCCTCAACTTGGGCTATGTGGGAACCACTGTCCCTGCCTCAGGGTCATTGTGCCACCACAGCTAGAGTGTGCAGTCCACCATCCAGTTCTTTGCCTGTGGGATCAGCCAGGACCCTCTCAGAGCTGAAGCAGGACCCAAGGGCAGGAGCACCAGATGATGGAGTCGGGGACACTGAAGCCTTCCCTGCCCATCCTGCCTCACCCTGACTCATGTGGCTGCTCCTCCAGCCACTCGAGGTGGCTCCCAAGTGTGAGTTGTTCAGGAGTAGCCACATCCTTGAGTCTACCCAAGGAGGTGATTAAACAGCTCAGCTTCTCTCACCGCCTCTCTGTGTTCTTGCTTTCCTGACCATAGCCTCTCTGTGTGTCTCACATCCACTCGACCCCCTACTTTTGAGCCTCAAAGAATTGTGTGATTCTGAAAACCTCCCTGTCTCAGTCTCCCCATTACAGTGATCTGTTTCACCAGGTTGACCTATGCTAAGCCTCTGTTTAGACCAAAGACATTCACTGTGCTTTGGGTTGATGTTAATTACCAGTATTCATGTTAAAAGGCAGCCAGTCACTCACCCTGGTGCACACTTTTATTTTTACTTTAAAAAAGTTGTTTAATGTCTTACAGTGCTGGGGATGGAACCCTGGGCCTCATGCATGCTAGGCAAACACTCTTAACATTGAACTACACTCCTAGCCCCCACACTATTCCTCACTCTCAAGTTTCTCAGTTGTTTTCAGTAAGGAATGGTGAGGAATGTTACTACAACCTAGTCTCAGCTACTACTGAGGCAGCCGTGGAAAGGTGAGCACCTTTCTGTCTTTTCCATAGAATCAAGGGAGCTCACACAGAATCACAAGAGTGGCAGGGTCCCACCTCCTGAATGGTAGAATGTCACCCTAGAAATCCCTAAGGTACATCCTGAGCATGTAAATAAACACACAATATATTCTAGAGACGGAAAGAAGTATTTTTTCTTAAAGTTTGCAGTAATTAAAAAGGAAGTACTAAAGCTGGAAGTTTTTGGTCTGTTTGACTGAGGAAAACTAACTTGTCTTCAGCATAGCTGGCCAAGGGCCCCAAGCAGTCCTGATCTTAAGAATGAGAAGGTATTTTTTTTTTTTTAAGATTTATTTATTATGTATACTGCATTCTGTGTGCATGTACACACCTGCAGGCCAGAAGATGGCACCAGATCTCATTACAGATGGTTGTGAGCCATCATGTGGGTGCTCAGGACCTCTAGAAGAACAGCCAGTGCTCTTAACCTCTAAGCCAGCTCTCCAGTCCCCGAGAAGGTATTTTCAAAATCATTAGTCATGAGTCAAAAAAATCAAAGCAAGTTGGATCTAATACCTTACATTCCTTTGACAAAAATTAGGAAAGTGAATGTCAAACTTGATAAAGATAGAAAAAACTGCCCCTTAGGTGTTGCAGGTAAGTGGGTATGCTAGCAGAGCTTTTCTGGGAAACTTAGACGTGTTAGTTTTATATATTCCTGTGACAACTCAGCAGTTTTACTCCTGGATTTACACCACCATCCCCCAAATTAGACTACACACAGACTGCTATTCACAACCTAGTTTATGATGTTGAGGAACTGAGGTAATTCTAGCATTTTATCTCCAAAAAGGGAAGGTGAAATGCATGGCTGAAGCAAGAAATATCACAGAAATTAGACTTAACACATCACTCTTAGTGGGGAAAAGCAAGGAATAAGTAGCTACACAACATACCATTTAATCACAAGTCTACAATTGTGGGTTTGTTTTTGTTTTGTTTTGAAATTTTCTATAATGAAAAGTTTTAAATGAATTGAAAAATATATATATATTAAAAGTCATGTCTCAGGGGCTGGAGAGATGGCTCATCAGTTCAAACAATTGCTGCTCTTGTAGAAGAGCAACATTCATATTGTGTAACTCACAAGATACCTGTAACTCAAGCTCCAGGGGATCTGACACCTCTTCTGGCCTCTGTGGGTACCTGCATACATGGCATACATTCATAGAGACAAACATATACATACCTTTCTTTTTCTCAACAGGGTTTCTCTGTACCCCTTGCTGTCCTGGAATTGTGTAGACCAGGGTGGCCTCAAATTCAGAGATCCACCTGCCTGTGCCTCCTGAGTTCTGGGATTACAAGCGTGTGCCACCACCACCCAGCTCACAAAACTTTTTCAATATTAAAAAGGAAAGGAAAGAAAAAGCAGAGACTATGCATGGTAGTGCACATCACTGTCATTTCCAGCACTGGGGAGGTTCAGGTAGGGTTATGAGTTCAAGGCTGTTCTTGGCCAGCTTTGGCTAAATGGTAAGGCCATCTTGGAAAAAAAAAAATTGAATTAGGGAGTGAAATGTAAATGTAGGAGAAAGATTGTATCTGTTAACAGAACATTGGTTGTAGAGACCTCAGGAAATTTGGGAAGGGGACAATGTGTTACGGCTGCTCAGATGGAAAGGAATTGTGTGCACTCAGGAGCCACAGAATGCCACAGGTCACATTAAGTGTAGCAGCTTACAGCTCTGCTTCAGGGAAAGGCTTCCTCAGTTTAACAGCTCTGCTCAGGCAGGAGATTTTACAGTTCTGTTTGGGTCCCCTGGAGTGTGGAGTGCAACAACTCCACTTCTATAGGGGAAGATTTCCCTGGCGAAAAGTGTTACAGCCCTGCTCTGCTTCACTCTGCCCAGGGTCATCTCTGCTTCAGGGAAAGAAGGTCTCACCCAAACCACATTCAAGAGATTTCTTGCGGGAAGAATCCAGGAGAGTGTCTGCCTCTGCCAGAGTGGAAGAAGACAGCCACAAACTGAACAGGCGCAGGGTTTATACAGGGCTTCTTAGGGGCGGATTTTTCCAGGGAGATTTCTAGGGTGGGGATTGATCAGATTCAGCCCCTGAGTTCAGACTGGCTAGATCTCCTGCTCGGGAATTGGTTGGTTTTCTACTCAGGTTAAGGGTCAGATTTGGCTCTGGTTTCAGGGCCAAAGTGTGTTTCTTTTACTGGTCCTTTTTTAGCCTTTTGGCTCTAGTTTTAGGGCCAGGGTGTATTTCTTTCACTGGCTCTGATTCTAGAGACAAAGTGTGTTTCTTTGGCACTGGTTTCAGGGTTAGGGTGCATTTCTTTGGTTCTGGTTGCAGGGTCAAAGTGTGTTTCTTTGGCTGTGCTCAGGATGCATTTCTTTGGCTGGCCCTTTTCTCCTACAGAAAGAACCCAAAATGCAAAGTTTTGTGATAGCAGACCCAAAGAGAATTCCAGGACAGCCAAGGCTACACAGAGAAACTCTGTTTCAAAAAACAAAATCAAAATTTTTAATTTAAAAAGTGTGTTTGTTATTACAATTAGAAAGACAATGGCTTCTGAAATGAATGGGAAACATGGATTTGGCGAATCCATGTAGCTTGGGGGAACTGGTCTTTATAGTATTGGAGGAGCTGGTGTTGAAACTACCACAATGGGGAATGGTGTTTAACAACCAACCATCCTAGAATCTCTACTAGGAAATAAACTCATCAATCTAATGGCTACTCTTTGTTGAATGGGATAGTGAACAACCCATCTAGCCAGTACCCTTCTGCCACCAGGAGGTGCCCTTCGACCGCAGTTGAAAGTCAGGAGCCTGACAATTGCCTGTACCTCTGGCAGCTTGGACTGGATGTGGATCCCCGCGTCACACTCACATCCCCAAACAGGGTCTGTCTCTGGACGTCTACACCATTTTGGGGGAGTTTTCACCACATTTCAGGAACCATGACTGAAACACAACGAGAAGGAAAACACAGCCCACGTATGTTCATGAATGAACATGACAAAGTATAGTTTGGATAGAGAAATACCTTCCTTGGTCCTAACCCAGCTATGTCACACATCATCTTTTCGCCCCTCGATTTCCAGTCTCTATTTCCTCGCCAATGAACAATACAATTGCAGTGAAAATTAAGTTGTTTTAAGGAAGTTCTCGCTCCTTCCCACCCAAATAAGGGAGAGATTAGGTTAAGATGTGGCGCTTAGACTTCTAAAGTATCGCTCTCAACCGCCATAGAGGTTGAGAAAACCCCCTTCTAGCGGACCCAGTGAGACAACCCTTTGTCATCAGCCTCCCTCGACAGAGGGCCTGGTAGCACGATCCATTGTGATGCTGAGAGACTCCCCCTGGGCTCAGTTTCTCCTAGGCAGTGGTTGCTTCCTGAGCCCTTCTGACGCATAAGCCGCGACCCTCTCCCAAGGTGGTGATTGGCTAGCCGGGGCCGGGGGCGGGCCGACCCCCTCTCCGCAGTGCCGTCACCACATGACCCCGCCCCCGCACGGGGGCGGCCATTTGTGTGCGGCCGCAGGATTGGTCGCCCCGCTCCTACGAGGGGGAGGGGAGGCAGGCAGCGCGCACTCGCGCGTGCGTGAGCTGGCGCGCGAGAAAGCGCTCGGTCGCGCCGAGGCTCGAGCGGCCGTCGCCATTTTGTAGGGTTCTCTCTGACGCGGGACCCGCCGCCACCGCCGGCACCACCCGGAGGTAGGAGAGGATGCTGTGGGTGTGTGGGGAGCCTGGGAGCGCGCCGGGCCGGACCTCGGGAGGGCCGGGAAGGCCCAGGTTTGGGGCTGCTCATCTTCTGAGGAAGGTCCCGGGAAGACAACGAAAGGAGGCGGGGCCGGGTCTCCGGAGGGGGCGGGGCAGGGGTCGGACCGAGTCTTTGTTGGGATGTTGGAGCTGGAGGTTGGGTGGCTGAGGAAGGGGGTTCAGGTGTGGGGAGAAAGAGGGCTTTTCGTTCTTAGAGTATGGTGGGAAGTGATACCGCGCTGTGGAGAGGGGCACAGATTTCCCTCCAAAATCTTGTAACTAAGACCATCCAGACGTTTCTTGCTTTCTGCTTGGTGTTTTCTTCCCTGTTCTAAGCCTTGAAACAGCTAACCTTGTAGATTAGATGTATCTGACCTCTCGGAGGACCTAGTTGTGCGTTATGACCTCCGATCTTCTGTTGGCATTGTCACACAGCTTGTACTACTTAGGAACAAACTGTTATTTCTCTCTCAAAAGGAATAAATTACCTCTGTGGAGTTTGGGAAGATTAATAATTGGCCATTAAACGGAAATGCTGCAGTGCTATACAGTGTCTCACTTCATGCCTAACTTTTGAAATCTTGTTTGTAATCTGCCAGGCTCTTGTCAGGATGGTGAAGCTGTTCATTGGAAATCTGCCCCGGGAGGCCACAGAGCAAGAGATCCGCTCACTCTTCGAGCAGTACGGGAAGGTGCTGGAATGTGACATCATTAAGAACTATGGCTTTGTGCACATAGAGGACAAGACGGCCGCTGAGGATGCCATACGCAACCTGCACCACTACAAGCTGCACGGAGTGAACATCAATGTGGAAGCCAGCAAGAATAAGAGCAAAGCTTCAACCAAGTTACATGTGGGCAACATCAGTCCCACTTGTACCAACCAAGAGCTTCGGGCCAAGTTTGAGGAGTATGGCCCAGTCATCGAATGTGACATCGTGAAAGATTATGCCTTTGTACACATGGAGCGGGCAGAGGATGCAGTGGAGGCCATCAGGGGCCTTGACAACACAGAGTTTCAAGGTGAACTGTTCTGGGGCTTGGGTGGCAGAGCTTCGTGAAGTCTAACTCAAGGCAGAGGCAAGAACATAAATAAGACCATGGGGCTGTGAGAGCGGCTTCCTCCATTCTCTTTTAATTGAAATAATAGATTATGCTCACTATTCTTAAGTAAAATTTACTCTTAGGGAAGTAAACATTTTCCACTTTGTTTGCAAAGATGTTTCTCCACAACTGTTGGGTCACAAATTGTGGGTTACTTTCTTTGATCTTCATTCATTCGAGTGTTGCTAGAAGTTAAGCTATCTAGGCAGGGAATGTGAGAAGGACTAGAGGTACAACTTAGTGGCTGCTTTTGTTGTGATCCAGAAGCTTTACTTTTTTTTATATTCTGATGAATTTACATTGAATGCAAAGAGGAAAAAGAGTATTTAGAGTATCTACAGAAGCACTGTATGAGAGATCTGAGGTGTGTCTCATTGGGGGGGCGGGAGTAGGTATCTTTGAGGTGTCCAAATTTGTTGAGTCTGTGGACTACAAAGCCAGGTAATATGTCATAGATTCTTCTGCTCCACTTATTACTTACCTTTTACAGGTTTAAAAAAAAAAATTTTTTTTTTTTTCTTTAGAAATTCAAGGTTGAATGGGAATGATGTTCTTGCTTCTGGGGAAATTTCATGAAGCTATTATAGAGCTTACTGTGTTGCTTATATTGATAATAAGTATATATGTATTGTCATTAATACCACAGGACCTTGTCTGAAAACCCTGGAATTGTGTTAGTACAATAGCCATTATCTACATGTGACTAGTAAATTTAAATTAATTGAAGCAAAATTTCAAAATTGATTTTTCCAGTGTGGGCACATTTCAAGAATACAGGAGTCATATGAGGGAAATGGCTACTGTATTAGGAAACATATAACAGGCCCACATTGCAGAAAATTCATTGGTTAGCACAGTTAGTTCTACAAGGTTTTTATTGAGTATCATGTTGGATCACATATTCAAGGCTACTGTTCTTTCCTTTCTTGTTTTTTGGTTTTGTTTGTTTGTTTGGTTGTTTTTGGTTTCTCAAGACAGGGTTTCTCATGTAGCTTTGTAGACTAGGCTAGCCTCAAAGTCAGTCAGAGCTCTGCCTGCCTCTGTCTCTGGAGTGCTGGAACTAAAAGGCTGCCAGCGCCGCCAACACCACCACCAGGTTCAAAGCTACTTTTCTAGTTCCTAAGTTAACACCCTTTTTTGCCAAAATACCACTAAAAAAGTTAAATATACAAAGGTCCTCTGCTAAACTAGAAAATAATGAAATCATGGGAAAAGGGAAAGTTAATCAGAAAAGTATTAAGTATGCAAATAGTGAAGCTTACTGGAGCCTCCCTATCATGTATTCTAGCTTCATCACTAACACCCTGGCCTTTAGGTACTGAAAGCCTAGGGCACAAATTGCAGTTAAGTCCCTATCCTTAGCCAGCAAGTTGACAAGTGAACCCCCACCCCCACAAGTTCTTTTCCCTATTATAAAATAATGATATCTAATGTGGCTCCCTCAAAGAATGGTAGTGAGATTAGAATGAGGTAGTAAGTACATTTTGGCGATAAAAGTAATTTATAATGAAAGATGAACACTATTTGCAACCATTTGCAACTCTAGTTAGAAAAATATTAAAAATGTGATAAATCTCCTCCCCTTAAAGGGTTTCTCTGTAAATTCTGAATGTCCTGAAACTCAATTTGTAGACCAGACTGGCCACCATTTCTCTCTCTCTCTTTCCTGAAACAATGCTAGCACACTTTGAAAATATTCCTGATTATTTTCACTTGCTGTGGAAGGTGTCATAGATGGACAGGGGAAAGTAAGGAAGGAGTTTTCTTGTCCTGCCAACTCAGTTCTGGTATCATCCAAGGGCCCCACAAATGCTGGGCAAGTGCTCTCCCACTGGCCTGTATGTTCCCATCCCTGAAGAAGGGTTTGCTTATCAGGTAACAAACAAAATGGAAGAAAACTTAAAGCCAAGTACTAACTTTGCATATAAATTCTCCTAGTATAAAGGAAATGGGGAAATAGGAGTTAGCTTTAAAAGGTGAGTAATGTGGCTTTTTGTTTTTTTTTTTTTTGGTTGGTTGTGGGGTACTAAATATTGAATGAACCCAGGGTCTTGAGCGTGCTACGTACACAGTACTGAACTATGCTCCTTGGCCCTTGTATTTGTTTAATAACACATATAATTACATAAGAAACGGGAATCTGAATAATACAACGAAGGTATTTTTATTATATATGTACACATATATAATATAAATAATCACTTCCATAGAAAGTACAGACAATAAACTGAGTTGAAAAAGAATAATCATTTATTTGGTTTCATGTTCTCTTTCTGGCTCTTCTGGAGAGAGTGGTTTACACCAATCTAGTTTTTATTGCATGCAGATATTTTTGTAACAAGCTAATTTTTCCCCCCCAAGGTGGCAACAAAGTTTAGTATTAGATAATGAATTTTGTTTAGACAAATTCTTGATGTATATAGCCTAGGCTGACTCTCAACTCAAAATCCTCCTGCTTCAGACTTCTGAGTGCTGGGGTTATATATATAATTCTACTACATATCTTACAGAAAATACAATCTAGGTGCCAGTTTGTCATTTTTCCAATTTAAAGCCTTTTTAGTCTAAAAGTTGCTATCTTGTGCACGTTTTGAACCTTTATTCTGCGTATTAATGGTTGTCTCAAAGTTATGTTTCTGCATTGTATAACTTCTAAAGATAGAATCTGAGTTTACCTGGGTCTTTTTCAAGATGTTTCCTCTCCACAGGCAGCAGTGAATGCAGTTTGAATTGGAAACCATAACGAAGCTGTTCCCAAGTAACCATCCGGGCAGCTGAATTGGGAAGGATATGTAAGAATTTAGGAGTGTTGTTTCAGCATTAAATCAATGGATCATTATTATATCGGTTACATCTCCAGTCTTCTTTGGACCCAAGATATAATTTCAGAAATTAGAATTAAGTCTCCCAACTTTTAACATTTTAATACTCTCTTTTGTTCCAGCCTCCAAGAGAAAGTACTTTTAATGGGCTGGTTTTCTAAAAAAATAGTGGCAAGTTTCAGTAATTTAAAAGTTCCACCTGTGTGTATCTAGTAAAGTGGCAAAACTTCTACCTGTTTCTAAAGATAATAGGGAAGTACAGTACTTTTTCAGAATTTGAGAGAGTCTGAATTGAAAGTCCTTCTAACCTTTGGGAAGAATCTAAGACAATAGAGATACCTCATATTACAGGTGTTTTTAACTTTAGGTCAAAACCAAAAACCAAAACAAACCAAAAACCAAAACAAAACAAAAAAACTGGCATCTTTTCACAATTACAGAAATTTGCCACAAATGTTGGTAAAGTACTCCCATCCTCTTAAGTTAAAAGTAGGAATAGAGCTGAGATTACCAGGTAAAAATCACTGTTTTACTTCTCAGAATCTATGAAACTAAAGAGCAATCAATTTTCCCCCTTATAATGACTTCTAGGTCTCTGGGTTGGGTTTTTAGATTGGCATGTTTTTCTGACTTTAGAATTGGAGTAATATAGCTATTACATAACACAATAATTATTAATAACTCTTAATAATAGCTCTTAATAACTATAATTGGGAATCTACTTGCTATCTGTCAACTGCATCAGTGGAGACCATCTACTAACAGCTGGGGTCAGAAGTTTGAGTACCCCCCCCTCCCCAAGACTGGTTTCTATGTATCCCTGGCTGTCCTGGAATTCATTCTGTATAATAGGCTGGCCTCAAACTTGGGGATCCACTTGCCTCTGCCTCCCAAGTGCTGGGATTCAAAGCATGGGCCACTGTACCCAGCCCAAAATGCTGATTATTATTTTCACATGGGGATACATACCCTAAAAAGCTACTACTGTTTTCACTTTATTTTTGTGTGGTGCTGGGGATAGAACTTGGCCTTGCATACAGTAGCAAAGTGTTCAACCATTGAGATGCATGTCCAGCCCCAGAAGCTGGTAGTTTTAATATCTAACTCCTCTAAGAGGCTTTGCTCAAGTAGTTGTGATCCTGAGGAAAAAACTGGGGTGGAGTTAAAATCTATAGAGGTTCTTTTAATTCCCACAGGTACAGATGAAGCCAGTGATAAGCAAAATTAGGATTTGGATATCCAACATAGCACCTGCACATGTTCCTGGAGGAAACATGGTGGACAGATCATGCTGTTGAACAGCAATTGTTTATAGGGTTTGAGGGTGATGCAATGCTGGAGGTTGAGCCCAGGGTGTCATACATGCTAAGGGGCATGTGCTTTTTCTATTGAGCTCAGACCTGCCATGAACTGTTTAGAGGAAAAAGAGGCCTTCTAAAATTTCTGTTAAGTCTTGTTAGATATCTTTTGATTTGGAAGTATTAGTCTTAGGAAAAACAAAACAAAACAGCAATCTTTGCATGGGAGAAGGAAATAAATTATAGAGATGAAATTAGGGGAAATTCTGATACACTACTGGCATTAAGTAGGATTTGAATGGTCTCTAAGGACTCCCATATTCTAGCCCTCCCTTCTGTTGTAATTTACTTTTTTGGAAAGGACTGGTGAATGAAGTAATCACAGGAGTGTGTATGTATATGTATTTTGTTTACTTTCATTTGAGTAAGGGAAAAGAATGTTAATGAGTAATAATTTTAATCTATTTCCTCAAGGCAAACGAATGCATGTGCAGTTGTCAACTAGCCGACTTCGGACTGCCCCTGGGATGGGAGACCAGAGTGGTTGCTATCGGTGTGGGAAGGAAGGACACTGGTCCAAAGAGTGCCCAGTAGACCGTACAGGGCGTGTGGCAGACTTTACTGAGCAATACAATGAACAGTATGGAGCAGTGCGCACACCCTATACTATGGGTTATGGGGAATCTGTGTATTACAACGATGCTTATGGAGCACTCGACTACTATAAGCGCTACCGGGTCCGATCTTATGAAGCTGTGGCTGCTGCAGCTGCAGCTTCTGCATACAATTATGCAGAGCAGACCATGTCTCATCTTCCTCAAGTCCAGAGCCCAGCTGTACCCAGTCACCTCAACTCCACTTCTGTTGATCCCTATGACAGACACCTATTACAGAACTCTGGCTCAGGTGCCACCTCAGCAGCCATGGCTGCCGCCGCCTCTTCTTCCTATTATGGAAGGGACAGGAGCCCACTGCGTAGGAATACACCTGTTCTCCCTGCAGTTGGAGAGGGCTACGGTTATGGGCCAGAGAGTGAGATGTCTCAGGCTTCAGCAGCAACACGAAATTCTCTGTATGACATGGCTCGATATGAGCGGGAGCAGTATGTGGACCGAGCACGGTACTCAGCCTTTTAAAAACTGGAGGTGAGAGTGGGGTGGATATGGTTGAAATTTGCATTTAGTTCCCTGCAAGAGACCTTTGCTTCATGGAGGAGCCAGAGCACCAAACAAGACAATGCCTAAAAAGCACAAATTACTTGTTTTCAGTATTTTCTATAGTTTAGGCCTCAGGTTTATTTGGCCTGTTGAGGAGTTAGTATCATTTCAATGTGTTACTTTTGAAATAGAAACAAGCTCAGTTAATGCCTTAAACCTCAGTATAGGAATGACAGAGGCAGGTGGATCTCTGAGTTTGAGACCAGCCTGGTCTACATAGTGAGTTCCAGGACAGCCAAGAACTATTTTGTTTGACCCTGTCTTGAAAAATGAAAATGGGGGGAAAAAAGTTGTAAACAGATACATGATATGGGGCAGATATGGAGAAGCTAACATATAGTGGCCCTTTGTTGTATAAACAGCTATTAACACATTAAGACCTGAGTCCCAGAGACCGTCAGTGCTTTGCCTATGATCATCTGGTAAATGAGAGATAGAGCCAAAATTCAGACTCAGATCTCTTAAATTTGTACTCTTTCCAGCCAGGCAGTGGTGGCACATGCCTTTAATCTCAGCATTTGGAAGACAGAGGCAGGCAGATCTAAGAGATCTAAGTTTGAAGCCAGCCTAGTCTACAGAATGAATTACAAAACAGCTAGGGCTACACAGAAAAACCATCTCAAAAAACCGAAATAAGTAAAATCATACTCTTCCCACTACTAAACTACGGTGGTGGTGGTGATGGTGAAAGAGTGCATTAGGGAGCTAGTAATAGACAGCACATTGAATTAACTTCAAGAGTTTCTAGTTTGCCTATACACCACTTCTTGGAGTAGCACATGGTGTGCATACCTGTAATCCCAGTACCAAGGAGGATGAGGCAAAAGGATTATGCTAAGAGGATAGCCTTGGTTACACAGCAAATTCTAGCAAAGTCTAGGAAATATAACAAGACCCCTGTCACAAACAAAACCCAACTATTTCTTGGGTCATCACCCTTTATCAAATGAAGCTCTTAAATATGTTTTGTAAATCAACCAAAGCCCTGATGTTTTAACACACTTAAGTTTTCAATGTTTCCATGATATGTTCCATGAAGTATTTACTCCTGTAAGAGCATGTTGATATAGGCACTTAAGCCCTAGTTCTTTATAGCCTGTGATAGAGTAACTGTTTCAGCAAGTTTTGCTTTTTAAGGCAACACTCAAGGAATTGGATAAATTAATAATTTCTGACATGTATAAAATCTTAGAGGTGGTAACATTTGATAAAATGAGACCGGGTTTCTCTGTAGCTTTGGGGCCTGTCTTGGAACTCACTCTGTAGCCCAGGCTGGCCTCAAACTCTGAGAGCCACCCGCCTCTGCCTCCTGAGTGCTGGGATTAAAGGCATACACCACCACCTCCTGGCAACATCAAAATTTTAATGTTTACCTATTTCAAGAAATGTGTACAAAGAATGTTGGAATGGCAAGAATTGGGGATATTCAGAGATAAGTAAATTTCATTAGAATGAAAATGGCATTTACAATGTACAGTACTCTCAATTGTACTTTGAAGTTGAGCATCACTTTGAGTTAGAGCTGTAGCAGCACTTAAACAAGTTACCACTGAGATGCCATGTTCCCAACTTATTCTGATTTTGTATGTTTTTTTAAAATGGCATGTATGTTAAGTTATATGCTGTACAGTTATGTCAGTAAGACTTGGGATTTCTTAAGACCATCATTCTGCATTCAACATGTGAATGGAGTTTTAATTCCTATAGCCGGATGTACTCTGTGAGATACCTCTGATAAAGTTAGTATTTGTCTATTAGATAACTTTGTTTATTAAGAATGTTTCAAAGTTAAATATTAAAATTAGTGTAATATAGCCTTTAAGGGTATTAGGACATTTTAAAAGCAAATTTTAACTTCAATCAGTAGCTGTTCAACTAACCTCTTTTTAGTGATGACTTTTAAAGAAACTTACCTTCCAGGTGTGAACCTCAAATGGACTGAATAACCCTGAGTTGGTTGCAGTCCCAGGAGCCTGATGTTAATGAGGCTGCCAGGATGAAATACTCCACAACTGTTGGGGATCCAAATTCGGGTCTCACCCTAACAGAACTGATCCAAGAACATCACAGCTTTTGAAGTCGATTGGCACAGATCAAGACCAAGATTTGGCCCTGTGTCTGTATTAAGTAGAGGAGCTTGGTGTGAGTTAACTTTTTTTTATCCCCAGCCATTGGTGTCTGGATTTCCCATCATCAATGGAAGAATTAGACAGTCCTAGCAGTGGTTTCTTTTGATTTGTCAAGGGATATTTGCTCAATTAGGAAACTACTGCAACTAATGGCTCTGAACTGACAGTGTGACATGTAGATACTTTAAAGGGTGATTGACCAACTGTTCTTTGATACTCTAGTCTTTGTGACTTTTTTGAATGTTTTCTTTGGAACATTTGTAATAGGAAAATTGGGCTGGGCATGGGTGGTGGATGCCTATAGTCCCAGCTACTCAGGATTGCTTTAGAACAGAAGTTCATGGTTATCTTGGCAACATAAATCCCATCTCTTAAAACAAAATTGATAATATCTGATATTTTACCATCTTTTGCTTTTTTCCTGAACAAAAATTCCTATAAAATTAATCTGTAGTTATTAAAAATATATACCTTCTTTGAAGCCGTGGTAGCCTTCTACTACAGGGGTTACCTAAGTTAAAAGACAGGAAAGCTAAGTTTATCATCACTACTAGCAGTTTTGCATCTTGTGTAGCATATAGCTATAAATAGGTTCCTAGATATAGTTATTAGACTCCTGGGTGATGTTGTGGGGTATACATTCAACCCAGTCTGACTTGATTTTGTTTTGTTCTGTTTCTCCCCTTCCCCCCACCCCCACCCTTACCCCTGGAATACAGGACGGGACCAGGGCCCCTGTACTCGGAACCAGGCTGCTCTCCAGGCATAGTGTAAGCCTCTTGTGTTGTGCTTTCTTTCAGGTAGGATAATTGCGGACTGAACCCTCGGGCTGCGGTCATATATGAGAACTTGGTCCTCGAGGTTCCCTTTGCCGGGATGTTTCCATTGCTTCATGTTTCAGTAAACAAAGGAATTTGTGACCAACTATGTTTTCTTTCTTAATTTAATTCTTCTAAATTGACTTTTCTTTCCTTGATGCCAGTTGTCTGTAGCTTTTCACTCTGTTCCTTATATTCTCAGCCTCTGAACATCCCTAGGTAAGGATTATGCTGGCATCCCCATTTTTCCTGTACAATGGAGCCCCTCTTAATCTTGCTTTCCTTAGGAGTTGAGTGAGCCCTTCTCCCTGCCATCCTGCAGCATCTCCTTTCCCCTTAAAATGACCATGTAGTGGCAAGCAGTCTTTAACACTTCTGTTACCTCTGGACTCTAACACTGAAGCTAATCTTCTGAAGTTGCTAGAACCATTGGGGTTTTGTTGCTGTTTTGGTTGGTTTTTTTGTTTGTTTGTTTTCCCGGTTTTGTCTGACCTGTGATCGTGGTACAGCATTTAGCTGAAATTTAGCTTTGTTTTATCCTACTCTCCCCCCCCTTTTGACAAATAAATGTTTCTAACATTTAATCTTTTCCTAATTGAGTGACTGTTATTTACCACTAGTGTCTTCTGATTTTTTTTTCCCCAGTTGTGCTTGAGCTACAAAATTCAAATGAGTAAATGCCTAAAACATAGAAGGAAAAACTGAGTAGAGCAATATGGTTTCAGAAATAGACAGCTGAGTAAACTTAGCTAATCTTGAGTCACTGGTCACTTTTGTATAGCTAGTAGTCAGGCTCCTTTCTCCAAATAACCTGAGCTATCCTACAGCTAAAAGGCTAACCCAGAGAACCCAGGGCACTAGTGATAAAGCCCCACAGGAGTCCTGTATCATAAGGCGGCTAGGCTAAAGAACCTACTTATGCTATCAAGTGGACTTATTTTAACATAGCATGCTAGAGAGGTATCTCACTGGTTAAGAGCAAGCAGAGGACCTACTTCAGTTCCCAGCACCCACATGGTAGCTTACAACCATCTCTATATAACTTCAGTTCTGATGCCCTCTTCTGACCTCATCAGGGCACAGCAGTGTACATACATACAGGTACTCGTACAAACAGAAAAATTCTTTTAAGTTGTTTGAGAACAAACGTTTTCCACCCTCTCCAGCAGGCTTGATAGACACCCCCATCCCTACCGCTCTGTTGTGATCTATCTTTCACCACTCCTGTATGTTTTGAGACAAACTGCACCTATGTACCCCTGGCTACCCTGGAACATGTCAAATAGACAGCAGTCTTGATCCTCCTGCCTTTGCCTCCCAAGTCTTGGAATTAGACATAACCCATCATTTCTGGATGTTTATCCTTTGTTTACTGTGGGAGGGAACAGAGGATGGAGGGGTGGCGCTGGACTGCTCTTCCCAGAGCATTGACTGCTCTTCCCAGAGGACCTGGGTTCAATTCTCAGCACCCACATTGGTGGCTTACAACTGTCTGTAATTTCAGTTCCAGGGAATCTGATGTCCTCATTCTGACCTCCAAGGGTACTGAATGCATGTGACAAAACATCCACATACATAAAATAAAAATTTCAAAACTAATAAAAATTTGTAAAGAGGCTAGGCATATAGCCATATGATGAAGCACAAAGCCCAGTGTCAGTTCCCTATTTTTCTTCACAAAAAAGGGGGAGGGGGTCATGTAAATTCACTTAGGAGCTCTTAAAATTATTTCTACTCGAAGTGTTAATATTTAAGATTTTTGGGGAGGGGGCATGGGAGGGTTAGTTTTTAAAGACAGGATTGGTAGTAGTTCAACTGGTCTTGAAATCATTATGTAGCTGAAGCTTTCCTTGAATTCCTAATCCTACTACCCCTTTAACCTTTAATGTGGTAGGATTACAGGTATGCCATCAGTACACCTGGGTCACTAAGACAGTTTTGCTGGATTAGAAAAATATACCTGTAATTTCAGCACTCAAGAGGATTATCAGGAGTTGTATGTCAGCCTTAGCTACATAGCAAATGAAGTCTGGAATATGAGACCAAATCTCACAAAAACTGATCCATCTCTCCAGCCCCTTTGAATGGTTTAAGTTTTATTCATTTATTGTTTGTGAGGGAGAGAGAGAGAGAGGAGAGAGAGGAGAAACAGAGACTGGGTGCTTGAATGCCAGTGCAGAAGCACGGGGAGATCAGAAGAAAACTTTCAGGGGTAGTTCTCTCCTTCCACCATAGGTTCTAGAGAGCGAACTTGGGTCATCAGGCTTCTGCAGCAAATACCTACCTCATTGACCCTTCTAAAAGAATTTAAGCTGCAAAAACAAAACAAAATTGGGCAAAGGCAGGTGCATCTGAAGTCAAGGCCAGCCTGGTCCACAAAGTGACAGCCAGAAACCCTGTCTCAAAAAAAAAAAAAAACAAAAATAACCTTTTTTTTTTTTTTTTTTGGGTTGTGGTACCTGCATATGTATACACAAAGGCTGAAGTAAGAGGTCAATACAGGTTATTTAGCTACATTAGTTGACCAACCAGTCCGAGGATCCTCTTGTCTCCCCTTCCTACATCTCCCAACTTTGGTGTTCTCCTCAGCACCCAGTTTTTCAGGAGTCTGAGCAGTAAGCATTTTAGTTTTAGAGACAGTCTCAGGCTGACTATGTAGCTGAAGAGGACCTTCGTGTTCTGATCATCCTGCATGCACTACTGCACCTAGTTCTGTGCAGTCCTGGGGATCAAAACAAAGTGCTCTCCCTACCAACAGAGCTACATCCACAATCTTTTTTTTTTTTTTTTTTTTTTTTTTTTTTGATTGTTTCAATTGCCCCAAGGTAGCTTCCAGCTTGCTATGTAGTTACGGCTGGCCTTGAACCTCTGATCCTCCTCCTTCCACTGAGCCAATCTGTCTAGTCCCTTTTACATTCTTGTGAAATGGGGTCTTGCTTTGTTATCCAGGCTGTCTCAAACTCTGTCATCCAGCATCACTCTCATGCTTTTATTACAAGAGTATACCACCACTTCTGACTCCAAATATTTTATACTAAACAGTTATCTTACTTTTTGAGTAGAGGCCAGAATGACAATCTACAGAGGTCCATGCCCACACTTCAACTAGCAAATGCAGTACAAAAGACTCATGTTAATTTCAAATTTCCACAGAAATTTGGACTATTGCCATATGAAAGAAATTAAGACAGAGTCACTGGGATTTCTTTGTGATTGGTATGTATAAGGCCAGGCAAAATGAAAGAGATTTGTAGCTATCCAGCTAGTCATGGTGGTACATGCCTTTAGTCCCAGGACTCAGGAGGCAGAGACAGGAAGATCTCTGTGTAAGTTTGAGGTCAGCCAGGTCTACATAGAAAGCTTCAGAACAGCCAGGACTACACAGAGAGATCCTACCCCCCCATAAATAAATAAATAGCCAAAACAACAACAACAACAAAGCCATTATTGACCTCACCAGAATCTCTACTGATATTCTGTGGGTTTTTTTTTTTTTTTTTTTTTTGATAAACTTAATATGGTAGTTTAATGTATCTTGATCCTCTATACCCTCAAATCACTGGCAGAACATGCAAGAAAAACATGTACAAATAGTTTTATAGAGCCATGGCTAGATAAGACTTGCAAAACTTGTACTGAATTTTCAATCTTCAGCCACATGTAACCCTTAGGTATTTAAACTATACATAGTAGTACTCAGAAACTCAATTTTTAAAGAAATTTACATTATGTGTATCTGTGTGACTATATGCCATTTCTAGGCAGGTGCCCATGAATGCCAAGAGAGCATTAGATACCCTGGAGCTGGAGTTCTAGGTTGCAAGCCACCATGGGAGTGGTGAGAACAAACTCAAGTCATTTGGAAGAACAGCATGCTAAGCCATCTTTCCAGCTCCACAAATTTTTATATAATTTAAGTGGCTAGTGACTACTACAACATTGACAATAAAATCATATGTATTTTTTCCCTTTTACTTCTCTGTAATAAACCTGGGAAAGCCTCAAGTGTTTAGCCAGTTAGAACTGCCAGGGAAGCAGGGCAGTGGTGGTACGTGCCTTTAATCCCAGCACCCGAAAGGCAAGATCTCTTGTGAGTTTGAGGCTGGCCTGATCTACAGAGCAAGTTCCAGGACAGGTTCCAAGCTAGAACTGCCAAGGAGTAAACAGATGTTCTTACATAAGCTGCATGTTGTAGGTACAAACCAAGAGGGGGTTTCTCAACAGACTAGTTCCTAGTCCCATGATACCTCTCACTCTAATGCTCCTGGAACTCCTTTATCTGCTCTTTGAACTACTGCTATATACCAGAATATGGTGAGCAATATGTTCCTACTAAAGATGTTAATCTTAATTCAGTTGTGCTAAGCACTATGAAGGGTCAAATATACTCTAATGTTTAAACGTGAGAGTACTATAGAGGATGGCTATCCCAAATGGAGGGAAAAGAGAGGCACAACCATTAATTCTGAGGATGGAGCGATTTCCTCTGTGGAGGAAACCAGAAGAGGTAAGTGATGGGAGTTACTCATGCTCTGAGCCTTGTAGTGGACTGTGAAGAAATTTCTCAGAAGATACAGGCTTATCA